CCTTACACTGGTCCTACTGGCGGTCTTACTGAGCGTCGTGAGTCTGCGTCTCGTCCTGCTAGCGCTAGTGCTCGTAGTTCGCGCCAGCGTCCTCCTCCTGCCCCTGGCACGCACCGGATGTCTCTACGTCCGTCTACTTCTCCTCTGCGTGCCCCTTTGCCTTCTCCTCCTGCGTCCTCTCTTCCTGCTCTCGCCGACCCTGCGTCGGACTCTCTTCGTGCTGCCAGTCCCACTGTCACGCGTCTCCTTGCTACTGCCGTCACTGACCCTTCTTTCGAGTCTTCTGCTGCGTCTGCCCTAGTTGCTGAGCTCGTCGACTTTGCTGCTCTCTGTCGCCTAGACTACGCTGCGAGTCTTGTCGCTGAGTCAGAGTCTGTCTGTCCTCCGTCCGTCGGGGGTGCGTGTGCCCTTGGCACGGACGTCCTTGAGGACAGGCAGGAGGAGTTCCAGTGCTTGGCCGCTGCTTCACCTCATCTCGTGTCCGTACTGCTTACCCCTGAGGGAGACCCGGATGCACTTGACATCCCGACTCCGCGCTCTTACGCGGAGGCGATAGAGGGTCCCTACTCCTCTCAGTGGCAGGCAGCTATGGATGCAGAGATGGCTTCCTGGAAGTCCACAGGCACCTACGTGTACGCTGTCCCCCCTCCTGGGGCGAACATCGTCAGTGGCATGTGGATCTTCAGGGTGAAGCGGCCGCCGGGTTCTCCGCCTGTCTTCAAGGCGCGTTACGTGGCTCGTGGCTTCAGTCAGCGGCAGGGAGTTGACTACTTTCAGACCTTCTCCCCCACCCCGAAGATGACCACTCTTCGGGTACCGCTGCACGTTGCTGCTCACCGGGACTACGAGCTGCACTCTCTTGACTTCAGCACAGCTTTCTTGCATGGCAGCCTGCACGAGGAGATCTGGCTGCGCCGCCCACCTGGCTTCACTGGGTCTTTCCCTCCTGGTACCCAGTGGAGTCTCCGGCGTCCAGTCTACGGTCTCCGCCAGGCGCCACGTGAGTGGCACGACACACTGAGGACTACGCTTGCGGCTCTTGGGTTCGCTCCTTCTACTGCCGACCCGTCGCTGTTTCTGCGCACCGACACCTCTCTGTCGCCGTTCTACATCCTCGTGTACGTCGACGACTTGGTCTTTGCCACAGCTGACACTACTGGACTCGCCTACGTGAAGTCCGAGCTGCAGAAGAGACACACGTGCACTAACCTGGGTGAACTGCGCAGCTACCTTGGCTTGCAGATCACCCGGGACAGAGCACGCCGCACCATTACCCTGACTCAGTCACACATGGTGCAGCAGGTCCTTCAGCGCTTCGGCTTCACGTACTCCTCGCCTCAGGCCACTCCTCTGTCTACTCGCCACTCGCTCTCAGCTCTGCCTTCGGATGAGTCCGTAGAGTCGGGTGGCCCGTACCCAGAGCTTGTTGGCTGTCTCATGTACCTGATGACCTGCACACGACCTGACCTTGCATACCCTCTTAGCATTCTTGCGCGCTATGTTGCTCCTGGGAGACACCGACCAGAGCACATGGCTGCAGCGAAGAGGGTGTTGCGCTACTTGTGCAGTACGTCGGGCATGGGGCTAGTGCTTGGAGGGCGGAGTCCAGTGGTCCTCACTGGGCACGCGGACGCTTCTTGGGCTGACGACCAGGCTACGCAGCGGTCGTCACAGGGTTACACCTTCAGCCTTGGTTCCGGCTCTGTTTCGTGGCGGGCTACTCGCTCGTCTTCTGTTCTCGGCTCCAGTTGTGAGGCTGAGATCTACGCAGGGGCCATGGCTGCTCAGGAGCTTCGCTGGCTCACCTACCTGCTAACCGACCTTGGAGAGCCGCCTCGTTCTCCTCCAGTCCTGTACGTTGACAACAAGGCCATGCTGGCCTTGTGTCGGGAGCAGAGACTGGAGCACAGAACAAAGCACATTGCTCTCCGCTACTTCCTTGCTCGTGAGCTACAGCAGCGTGGTCAGTTGCGGCTTGCGTACGTGGCCTCTGAGGCCAACACTGCTGATGTCTTCACCAAGGCACTTCCGCCTTGTGATCATCAGCGCTGCTGTACCCAGCTTGGTCTTGTGTCTGTCTTGCCTCACTTGCTCTCCTCTTGACTCTCTTTGTACTGTTACATATATATATATATATTACTGCTCTTGCTTGTTTAGTCTTATATATATATATGTACTCCTGCATGTGAACTGGCCTTGTGGCCTTGCACTTGTGCTCGGATTGTGTGGTGACGTTGTGATCCACCCTGAGCTTGCTTTGCCTTACTTGACTGGTCTTGTGACCCCTAGTTCTCCCCCACTTCGCCTATGGGGGTGTGTCAAACATTATATATGTTGTTGTAGTTGTATAGGCTACAGTGGGTTAGCCTATAGGGGGTACACATTCCTAGTTTTTCATACTTGTACTCATTTCACTGTTAGTTCATTCATTCTTGTTCAACAAGGGGCAGCGAGGAAAGGGCCGCCCACGGGCCTGGCACACCCGCCCGAACCGCGCGCAGGCGGCCCGAGCCGCGCGCGGGCCTGGCGCAGCCCGTACAAGCCGCGCGCGGGCCTGGCGCAGCCCGTACGGGCCGCGCGCTGGCTTGGCGCAGCCCATACGGGCCGCGTACGGGCCTGGCGCAGCCCGTACGGGCCGCGCGCAGCCTGTACGGGCCGCGCGCAGGCCACGACGGGCGACGGGGGGCGACGCGGAGGTCCCCGTCGCCCGTCGCAGCGCCTCCCGAGGGCGATGCGCCGAGGGACGGGGCGGAAGCCCGCCGCGCGCCTCGGGGCGCACAGCGGGCAGAGAACCGCCGCGCGCCACGGGGCGCACGGCGGGCAGAAAACCGCCGCGCGCCTCGGGGCGCTCGGCGCGAAGAAAAACTGCCGCACGCCACGGGGCATGCGGCACAGAGAGTAGCAGTGGAAGTTGCAGCGGAAGGAGCGTGGTGGGGCCCACAGGCCAGGAGCTTACTGCTCTGATCACCATGTGAAAATAGGTAATTAGGAGGTAGGAGCCATGGCTAGGAAAACCCTAGTTAGGCAAGAATAGTTTAAGAAAAGAGACTGGTTGCACTAGCAAGCAACAGGATACATATAGGAAACCCTAAGGGGTTGTACTTCTATAGAGTACCCCACTACAGGCTAGAGAACAAAGATAACATTCTGACATCGGTCGGACCAGAACCCCGGACCAAGCGTATAGATTCTGGTCGCGGACCAGATCCAGCGGACCCTTCACATGAGACACGTCTTTATTTTAACCTCGCTTTAGACATCGCCCCAGACGAACGAACGGACGAACCCACCCTTCCAAATTTTGATGGAGGTTTCTTTAGGGCGCGTAGCCATTTTGCATTTTACGATTTTGACGGACAGTCTGTTTAAAACGAAGGGGACGGTCCACTTATCGAGAACGGGACTGTCCGACTGATTTTTTTGCAACTTCGGACTGTCCGGAGACAATTGTGACACTTTTTTTTTCTATTGTACAGTTTCGCGATCTCTATACAGGCGTTACGCGATTCGCTCACGCTCGCGGATGTCGTTATCGAATCAATTTTGTTTGTGGGTTGTGTCTGGTTGGTCAATGTCCATTCGCGAAATAGCATTGCATGTTATTGTTGGTGGATGAGGTGACTCAACAATTTTTACGTCGCGCGCCAATCGTGTGCAAGAAGTGTTGGACAGTCCGTTTGGGATTCGGACTGTCCACGGATCAGATTTCGGACCGTTGAAAATATGAAAAAGTGTCACGACAGTCCGTTTTGTTGGCGAAGTCGCCAACACATTGACGAACTCACTTACGACATAGCGGCAATTATGCTACCTTTTCGCCACCTGGACGGTCTACGGTTCGAACCGTCGGGTGCGAAATGGTTACGCGCCCTTAACCCCGGTATGCTTCTTGAAAGCTAACGGACCCTCAGGTCAGGGAAGGATACAGGATGGATTCTCCATGAACAGCCAGTGTGGTCTTTGTCACGGCACGGAAACACAGTGGAATGAAATGGAATGGGATGGGTCTGCTCTGCTTATCCATCTTTTGAAGGGACAACCGCCGTGACTATCGCATTGGTGGATAAAACGGGTTGCTTTTATATCAACCAATACGAGCTTCCTTGTGGTCAGGAAAAGGCTCTTATAAGCCTGAGGCACCCCGCCTCCTCATTCCCCAAAAGCCATACAAAGAAGCACTACATATCGATGCTGACGAGGCGATGTCATATTGGTTTTCTGACCACGTGGGCTACGTCGGGGCAACAATGAATTCAGGGTTCACACGAGAGAGTCAGTTAGTCACTCAAAGAGGTCGTTTAAACGCCCTTTGCGTTTATACGCCTTGCCCTGCCAAACCTACGATGTTTAGCTAACAGGCTCTTCAACGAATCGTGTGGGGAGGAAAATCACTGTGCAATCTGCCAAGCACCTTGCCTAAACCCGTTCTCATAGCCTCCACCGTCCTTGAAAGCTGGAATGGCTTCGATTTGAGTCGCACCTGGTTACTCCCCCATGGTCACGATCGCGCCTCGGAGATTCCTACACATCCGCGCCGCCGACCGCTGCTGCTTCGCGCAACTACAACCACTCGCGTGCCAACGTTGCGGAAATCTGCCAATTCATTCCCCGAGACGTGCCAATTGTGCAGCATTTCTCCCAACCCCCAAACTCCCACCCACTCTCTCCCCCCCCCCCCCCAACCTCCTCCCGCCAACCCCATTCTGCTTCCCCCCATCCCCCCCCCCCGCGCGACTTTATCGGATCAAAGAGTGTGCTGCTGGGGAGGCTGGAGCATGCCTTCAGCCTGCTGTTAACCGTCCACTCGCCGACTACATAACCCCAGGCGATTATCTCATTTCCTCGAACAGCAACACGTTTCCCCGATATTTTCCAACTGTGCTTATTTCCGCGGCTTCGGATTTCGCACCGTCCTCAACCCCCCGTGTGTGTCTGGGCTCCATCCGTTGCCAGGCATCATGTCGGGCCTTCCTCCCAATTGTCCCCCAGGGGGCTTCGGCATGCCTCGTGAGTACCTTCGCAATTCATCCCTCATCTTTTGCTGTAACAGAAGTAACAAGCTTTTCTCCGTTTCGCGCCAATTCACTTGGATCCCTTTTCCTTCGACTTTGCTGCCATTACGGCCTCGTATTATTCTGCAATAGCAGCTGAACTACGCGTCGCACTCCCTCGTCTGTTTCTCTTTTTCGCAGAGTATTTCTCGACCGGCTCCAACGGACAATGTCAGCAGGCGTCGTCCTTCTTCGGCGGGAAGCCACCGCTCGACATAAGCGTGGGGTACGCCGTCGTGCTCGGCTTCGGCGCGTTCTTCGCCGTGTTCACGTCGTGGCTCGTGTGGCTGGAGCAGCGCTACGTGGGCACGCGGCAGAGCTCCGAGTGGTTTAACACGGCGGGCCGCAATGTCAAGATGGGTCTTATCGCGTCCGTCATCGTCTCGCAGTGGACGTGGGCTGCTACCATTCTGCAATCCTCGAACGTCGCGTGGCAGGTCCGTCACGAAAAACGTATGAATTTACAATTGGTTCACGCAAACTTTTTTCGAGCGACGAAAAGTGATGTCTTTTGCGTGACCTGGCTCAACATGACTCACTTGTTCCTGTTATTGGTTTCTTCAGGACGGCGTGAGCGGTCCGTTTTGGTACGCGAGCGGCGCGACGATTCAGGTGCTGCTGTTCGGCATCATCGCCATTGAGATCAAGCGCAAGGCGCCCAACGCGCATACCGTCTGCGAGATCGTCAAGGCCAGGTACGACGGCGCCACGAATGGCCGTGACCCTGGCTGTGCACGGCCGCGCCGCCAATGCAGCTACGCGTAACACGCGACTCGGTCGTATCTGTATGTTTCGAACAACCTCAGCTAATCGCATGTGCTCTCTTGCAAGCGCCGAGCTGGAACCATTTCTCACCTTGACTCTGTTTGGATGCTTGTTCCTTGTTTTCGCGGCGCGGCGCGAAAACAGGTGGGGCACGGCGGCGCACATCGTGTTTCTGTGCTTCTGCTTCCTCACCAACATGATCGTCACCGCCATGCTGCTTCTCGGCGGGTCAGCGGTGGTCAACGCGTTGACCGGCCTCAACATCTACCTCGCGTCGTTCCTCATCCCGCTCGGCGTCATCTTCTACACCCTCGCTGGCGGCCTCAAGGTGCGTCGCGTCGCATCATCGTATGGAGTCGACCCTTTGACCTTCCGGGTTCCCTTTTTGTCTCCGAATTCTGTTATCGGACGTTCTTTGATGGGTGCTTTCCCCCGCAGGCGACGTTCCTGGCGAGTTACATCCACTCGGTGATCGTGCACATCATTCTCCTCGTTTTCGTCTTCCTCGTTTACTGCACAAGCTCGTGGCTCGGATCGCCGTCCGCCGTGTTCAACAATCTGACATTCGCCGCGAGCCCCACGCGCGACTGCTCGCTGCAGCACCCCGGGCAGCACTGCGGGCCCGTGTCGGGCAACAAGGACGGCTCGTACGTCACCATGATGTCTATCAATGGATTCGTCTTCGGCCTTATCAACATCGTCGGCAACTTCGGCACTGTCTTCGTCGACAATGTAAGCAGCGCGAAATTTTTGCGAATTTATATCCATCTTACGCTCTCCAGAGTCATGTGACAGTTCGGAAATCTGGGCCCGTCCCGTCAGCCTGAACCATTTTCGCCTTTTTTCGCTGCATCTCTCACGACAGGGTTACTGGATGAGCGCTATTGCGGCGAAGCCGTCGTCGACGCACAAGGGGTATCTGCTGGGTGGGCTCGTGTGGTTCGCCGTGCCCTTCTCGCTCGGAACGTCGCTCGGGCTGGGGGCCGTCGCGCTCGGGCTGCCAATTACGCAGGCGGAAGCCAACCAAGGGCTCGTGCCGCCCGCCACGGCCGTCGCGCTGATGGGCAACTGGGGCGCCGTGCTCATTCTCATCATGCTCTTCATGTGAGTACTCCTGACAATCGCAATTTATACCCTGGTGATTTGAAGTTTGCCGCATTGCTGTGATTACATGTTTTCTGATGTGCTTCGCTTTCACAAATGGAAGCAAATTCATAAATATCTTAGCTACACTGCCAGCGGACTGTTTCATAAGTTGAGTCCGTTTTATGCGTGTGCAGGGCCGTGACTTCCGCTGGCTCTGCTGAGCTTGTTGCCGTTTCAACTCTGGTGACGTACGATATCTACCGTACGTACATCAACCCCAAGGCGAACGGCAAGCAGATCCTGCTGTGCTCGCGAATCATGGTGCTCGCGTTTGGCCTCTTTATGGGCGTCCTCGCTATAGCGCTGAACCAGGCCGGAGTGTCCCTCGGCTGGATGTACCTCGTGATGGGTGTGCTTATCGGAAGCGCGGTCATTCCCATCGCGAACGTGATTCTCTGGAAGAAGGCGAACGGGTTTGGCGCTATTGCTGGCTGCCTCATCGGCATGGTTGCAGGTGTGTACAGGAAGAAACCCAACCTTCATACACTTGTCATACATGCACTGTACCCCTAGCTCCGCTTTCATGCATAGAGCATTCTCCTCTGCTGGACTGAAACCAATCTCCTGCCCCCCACCGCTGGAAAATCACCGCCTTTGCATACTTGCGTACCTATCTTCGTGCCCCATCAACCTCCAGGCATTACCTCGTGGCTGGTGGTGGCGAAGGTGCAGTATGGAGTGCTGGACCTTGACAGCACCGGAGCCAACTCCTCTACACTCACTGGCAACCTCGTCTCCATCATCACTGGCGGCGTTGTGCACGCCATCTGCAGGTAAACCCTCCCCTCCTTTCTCTTGTACGCTCTAAGGAACACCGGGTACATGCACAAAATGAGATAGTTGTTGCCGAAAAGAAGTGCTGGATCAGTGCAGTGTCACCCCCTCCCTCAAAATAAACCCCCTACACTCGCAATACCAAACCAGAGCTTCCAATCTTTCTCTGCATTGTACCGACTCCCTCATCTCTGCACAATCCACTGAAACCTCCCTCGTCTTACACCATCCTCTGCTTTCCCCCTTACCCCTGCCTCCCCCCTGCCTCCCTCCGCCCTTAACACCAGTTTCGCCAAGCCAGACAACTACGACTTTGAGGGTACGCGTTGCATTGCCCTCGTGGACGCCGACGGGCATGCTGAGGTGGACCCTGAGGAGTACAGCCAGCAGAAGCTGTTGTCCGCCAAGAAATGGATCTTCATCTGGGGCTCTGCCTTCACCATCGTCATCGCCATCCTCTGGCCCATCCTCTCCCTCCCGGCCGGTGTCTTCTCCCTCGGGTATTTCACCTTCTGGGCGGTTATTTCCATCGTGTGGGGTTTTGTCGGCTCGGCGGTTATCATCCTCCTGCCGCTGTACGAGAGCTGGACGGATCTGTGCCTTGTCATGAACGGCATGTTCACCAACGATTTGATTCTCGAGAAGGTGGATGATGTGGGGCTCAAGGTGACGGCGCTGATGTCGACGAATCAGGACGCGGAGAAGCACTACCTGCTGCACAAGGAGCAGATGAAGGAGCTGCGGTCCCAGATGCCTCCTCCGGCCCTCGAGCATAAGGAGCTGGTGGGAGAGGTGGACCTCGACTGAGGCTGATTATTGAAGACTGGCCCAGTTGGCAGGGTCGTTGCAACATGTTTCTTTTTCCAAAGTAGCTTACTTTTGCTCTTTGGGGGAATGTGGCTTTGCTACGTGGTGCAAAGCCAATATGATAATAGGGAAGGGGAAACTAGACATATAGTAGGGTCAATAATGTATGTAAGTTACTGTAATATGATATAAGAGCGAATCAACGTCCTTTCCTCACAACAGAATAGCAGCACGATGCAACAGAGTGTAAGGAGATTTGCAAGCGGGTGGAATGTGTAAGCATGAATGGAGGATCCAAGGAAGGAATCCATTCCAACCACACCAGCTCACACCACACCAGCGCAGCCCCCCATATCGTCACAGCAATGTACAGGAGCTTGTGGCCCACGGCTGGCCCTCCCAGCCAGGGTGGTGGGTGGTTCAAGGATTCGTGCATCATCTCATGCTTGGCTATTATCACTGCATGCATGCCGCTGAGCATGTCTGAGGGCGTGTTCCTACGGCCCCCTATCAGAGCTTCCTCATATCAGGCTAGCAACGCTCCCCTGTAAATCGGAAATTACGCGAAAACCTCTTGTCAGGAATTCTTGACGGTTTGGGCTGATGCGCGACTGTAAATGTTTGCTGACGTGGCACCATGCGACTAACCACTGTAAATGCGCGCAACGGCACAGCTGAGCACCCTCGGGCGAAACCACATCCCACACCACTCAAGCATTGTCACATTGCTCCTGGCCCATCTCCTCCAGCCAAAGTAGTCGCCTATTTCAACGAAACACGAGGACGTGACATCACATGGTTTTTCACTAGTAGGGCCGCCATGAACGACGTACCCTTCCTACCCCGTCTATTGATCGTGTGGCACACTTTTTACTACAACACGTTTTTCGCGCTTGCTACCAAGGCTTGTACTCAGTTTCTCGAGCACATAGACGCATCAGAGGATGAGGGAAGCAACGTGGAATCGCGTAGTGAGATTCGGGCACGGAACCGTCGTCTACGGCGGCAGCGATTAGAGATATGGTTGGACGAAATGGACCAGCGGTTAGAGATCTGGGATTACCTCATAGGGTTCCCCGGCACAGCACACGACCAGCGGGTGTTCATTAAATCAAGCATCTACGAGCGACTAGAAAAAGGCGAGATCTCCCGTACCAACTGGTCGGCGACGCGGCTTACCCCCATCGCGACTACTGCCTCACACCCTTACCGTCAGCCCCCGGATAGAAGCGCCCCTGGGGTTATGAAAAAACACTGTTTTTTAGGGGGTGGGCTTATAATTGAGGATTTTTATAAGCGCCGGGGCTTATAAAATGACATATATGAAATCTAGTTTTTTTACACCAAAGTGTTCATCTCGTCCTTGCGATTTGAATCGAATCGATATTGTAGGGGGCTGGAATGTGAATCTCGCGTAAATTGGCAGTGGCTGATTCTCTGCCAACACGCACAGTCAGAATGAGTCAGATTAACCCCATGACAGGTAATTCTGACTGTACGCGAAGGCATTGAGTCGCGCGATGGTGAAGGGATTCGAATTTCGGAATGTTGGGATGCAAAAATTGTGTTTCGTTACAGCGTTTCCAGTAAAAATATTAAAAATAATTTAGAGGGTGGCGCTTATAATCCGTAAGCCTTTAGGGGTGCGCTTATAATCGAGGACCGAATATAAGCGCCCTCATCCTTTTATAAGCGCCGGCGCTTATCCGAGGCATGCGCTTCTATCCGGGGGCTTACGGTACATGTTCCCACAGGCCGCCTGATGCTAGAGTGAGAACAAACATACAACAACTGCCAGTCGGCCACACGGATGCCTGTTGAGCGCACCATCGGTCAATTTAAGGGCCGCTACCGCCTTTTCGCCGGCCGACACGATTGTGCACTTTGGCGCGTGCTCGCCGGCGCTAGTTGTGTCGTAATCCTGCATAATATGGGGATTGCATGGCTGGTTCGCGAATGAAAAACCCGAACCACAAATGGGAAGCTATAGCCCTCAACCGCGAGCCATGGTGGACGAGGGGCGAATTGGCAATGTACAACTGGAGTGCGAGTGAGACTGGCACACCGGCTGAGCTAAAAGAGCGGCGCAAGAGGCTCGTGTCAAACATTATATATGTGTTATCGCTGTGTAGGCTATAGTGGGTTAGCATTTAGGGGGTACACAACTCTAGGGTTTCATACTTGTACTCCAATGTTTCATAGTTCAATCACTTCTTGTTTCTGACATGGTATCAGAGCTTAGGTTCTAGACATAAGGGCCCACCGTTCCGCTAGAGGTGCCCTCGTGCGCCCCCCCTTTTTTTAGCGCCCTCGTGCGCCTCTCCTCTAGTGCGCCCTCGTGCGCTCTCCTCTCACGCTGCCCGTGTGCAGCCCGCTAGCAGCCCGAGCGCGGCCCCGCCGTTTTAGCGCGCGTAGGAAAACAGCCACCTAGGGCGGCCCGACTTTTTCTCGCGAGCCCCAGCAGGCCGTCGCCGGTAGGCCCCGCTCCCCCCCCGCCGCTCTTCCTCACCCCAGGTGTCCCGTCGGTAGACCTCCTCCCTCCCCAGGGTGCTGCTCCCTCAGGTGTTTCCCAGGTAGACCCGGTCGAGCCTGTCGAGGTAGCTGCTGACTCTGGTTCTGCGCGAGGTACTGAGCGTGCTGAGCCTGGTGGTGCTGGGTCTGGGGGCACTGAGACTGGGGATGCTGAGCCTGGGGGTGCGGAGACTAGGGGTGCTGAGCCTGGGGGTGCGGAGACTGGGGGTGCTGAGTCTGGGGGTGCTGAGTCTGGGGGTGCGGAAACTTTGGGTGCTGAGCCTGGAGGTGCTGCGACTGGGGGTGCTGAGCTCGGGGGTGCTGAGACTTGGGGTGCAGAGACTGGGGGTGCTGAGCCTGGTGGCGCTCCCTCTTCACAGCAGTTGCGTGAGTGGTACTCCCAGCGCTACAGCCTCCGTCGTGGGACTACTAGAGCTGGGGGGTCTGCTGGATTCGGGGCTGGTGGCCCCGCAGGTGTAGTGCCGCAGCTAGAGCCTCCCTCCTCTCAGCGGCTACGTGAGTGGTACGCTCGGCGCTGCAGCCTCAGGAGAGGAGATCCTGGAGTTGAGGTACCGCCAGCTGGAGGCCCTGCTGCTGGTGCTGGTGCTGCTGGAGGTGTTGCTGGTGCTGCTGGAGGTCCTAGAGCTGCTGGAGGTGCTGCTGGTGCTGCTTGAGGTCCTGGAGCGGCTGGAGGTGCTGCTGGTGCTACTGGAGGTTCTGGAGCTGCTGGAGGTGCTGCCGGTGCTGCTGGAGGCTCTGGAGCTGCCGGAGGTGCTGCTGGTGCTGGTTCGGCTGGAGGTTCTGGTGCTGTCTCTGCTGCTTCTGGGGGCACTTCACGGCCGCGGCCGTACTTCGTTCCGCTCCTTCAGCAGGTTCTTGGTCAGATGCCTCCTCCTAGTCCTCCTCCCTCCTTAGAGTGTCCTTCGCCTGTCGAGTCGCAGTCCCAGCTCCCGCCTACCTCGCCACTTCCTGGTCCTTCTCCCTACACTGGTCCGACAGGCGGTCTTACAGAGCATCATGAGTCTGAGTCTTGTCCTGTGTCGCCTGTGTCTCGTCCTGTGTCTCGTCCTGTGTCACCTGTTCGTGCTGCTCGCACTAGTCGCCGTGGTCACCGTGAGCGTCCTCCACCTGTGCCTGGCACACACTTTATGACTCTGCGTCCTTCCACTGCTCCACAGCGTGTCCCTCTGCCGTCTCCTCGTGAGTCCTCCCTTCCTCTCCTTGCTGACCCGGAGTCTGACTCTCTTCGTGCTGCCAGTCCTACTGTCACGCGTCTCCTGGCCACTACTGTCACTAACCCTTCCTTTGAGTCTGCTGGTGCGTCTGCCCTAGTTGCTGAGCTTGTCGACTTGGCTGCTCGCTGTCGTCTAGACTACGCTGCGAGTCTTGTTGCTGAGTCTGAGTCTGTCTGTCCTCCGTCCGTCGATGGTGAGTGTGCTCTAGGCGCGGACGTCCTTGAGGACAGACAGGAGGACCTTGAGTGTCTTGCAGCCGTTGCGTCTCATCTCGTTTCCATGCTGATTGCCCCTGAGGGAGACCCGGATGCTCCAGACATCCCGACCCCGCGCTCTTACGCTGAGGCGATCGCGGCTGAGTACTCCTCTCAGTGGCAGTCAGCCATGGACGCAGAGATGGCATCCTGGAAGTCCACTGGCACTTACGTCGATGAGGTTCCCCCACCTGGGGCGAACATCGTCAGTGGCATGTGGATTTTCAGGGTGAAGCGGCTGCCGGGTTCTCCGCCTGTCTTCAAGGCTCGTTACATTTCTCGAAGCTTCAGTCAGCGAGAGGGAGTAGACATCTTTCAGACCTTCTACCCCACCCCGAAGATGACCACTCGTCGGGTGCTACTGCATGTTGCTGCTCAGCGTGACTACGAGCTTCATTCTCTTGACTTCAGCACAGCTTTCTTGCAGGGCAGCCTGCATGAGGAGATCTGGCTGCGCCGCCCTCCTGGCTTCACTGGGTCGTTTCCTCCTGGTACCCAGTGGAGCCTCCGACGGCCGGTCTACGGTCTCCGCCAAGCGCCACGTGAGTGGCACGACACACTGAGGACTACTCTTGCGGCACTTGGTTTCGCGCCTTCTACTGCTGACGCGTCGCTGTTTCAGCGCACCGACACTTCGCTGCCGCCGTTCTACATCCTCGTGTACGTCGACGACTTGGTCTTTGGCACTGCTGACACTGAGGCTCCGCCCACGTGAAGTCGGAGCTGCAGAAGAGACACACGTGGACAAACTTGGGTAAATTGCGCAGCTATCTTGGCTTGCAGATCACCCGGGACAGAGCACGCCGCACCATCACACTGACTCAGTCACACATGGTGCAGCAGGTCCTTCAGCGCTTCGGCTTCACCTGGTCCTCAGCACAGGCCACTCCTCTGGTTGTAGGTCACTCGCTCTCAGCTCTACCTTCGGATGAGTCCGTAGAGCCGAGTGGTCCTTACCCAGAGCTAGTTGGTTGCCTCATGTACCTGGTGACTTGCACTCGTCCTGACCTAGCATACCCTCTTGGCCTTCTGGCCCGCTACGTGGCTCCTAGCAGGCACCGAAAGGTGCACTGGGATGTTGCAAAGAGGGTATTGCGCTACTTGTACAGTACATCGGGCATGGGGCTCGTGCTTGGAGGAGGGAGCTTAGTTGTTCTCACTGGGCACTCAGACGTTTCTTGGGTTGACTACCAGGCTACTCAGCGATCGTCACAGGGCTACACCTTCAGACTTGGATCTGGTTCAGTTTCTTGGCGTTCTACTCGCTCGTCTTCTGTTCTCAGCTCGAGTTGTGAGGCTGAGATCTACGCCACAACCATGGCTGCACAGGAGCTACGCTGGCTCACCTACGTGCTGACCGACTTGGGAGAGCGGCCTAGTTCTCCTCCAGTGCTGTATGTCGACAACAAGACTGCCATTGCCTTGTGTGAGGAGCACAGACTGGAGCACAAAACGAAGCACATCGCTCTCCGTTACTTTCTGGCTCGAGAGCTGCAGCAGCGCGGTCAGCTTCGTCTGTGTTACGTGGCCACACAGGCCAACACCGTTGATATATTCACCAAGGCACTTCAGCCTGGTGATCATCAGGGCTTCTGCACTTTGCTGGGGCTGGTGCCCACTTTTCCTCACTTGCTGTAGGCTTTGCCTGTACTGTGATCTCTATATATGTATACCTGCCTGTTTGCTTTGCTAGGTTTAGATCACCTTGCTGTTTGTGTTGCATAAATGCCTCTGCATGTGAACTGGCCATGTGGCCCTTTACATGTGTTCAGAGTGTGTGGTGACGTTGTGATCCACCCTGAGCTTGTTTGCCTTTCTTCACTGGTCTTGTAACCCCTTGCTCTCCCCCACTTTGCCTATGGGGGTGTGTCAAACATTATTTATGTGTTATTGCTGTGTAGGCTATAGTGGGTTAGCCTTTAGGGGGTACACAACTCTAGGGTTTCACACTTGTACTCAAATGTTTCATAGTTCAATCACTTCTTGTTTCTGACAGCTCGGCGAGACGCTGCACGATGCCTACCTTAAGCGACGTCGTCGCGATGCCATTCCTCAATCCCGTCACTAAGGTCGGCATTGGCATGAAGCTCGCTGCCGTCACGGCGGTCACGCCAACCGTCGTCGTCACCGTGGCGCGTTCCCGAGAAGTGAAGCGAATGGCTGGTCTGCGACTGCTGCGTCGCCATCCACTCTCGAATAACCCCGGTAATTTGAGCGACGCCATCAGCCGAGCACTGCTTGAGAGTGTCGGATAAGAGTTGGGTGGCAGCCATCGTGGCTGTGTCGTTCACCCTACGACGAGCACTGAGCGGGGTGCTACGCACTAAAAACAAGACAAGGAGATAGGCGGTATTATAGGCGGCTGTTGATGTATATGTGTATGAATGTTTTTTAGTAAAACGTAATCATACTAAAGGCGTGGTGTAGACAGAGTCTTGTTACATGCAGAGAATGAGAAGGGTCGGATAACTTACTCGTTGTGGCTATAGCATCAGTCTTGGCAGGCGTGGGGACTTTGAGCCCGGGGTCGACGTTGACCTCAACCGCACCGCCGCCGTCCACGGCATGCGGCTCCGCGGCTGCCGTGTCCTTATAAAAAAGGACCATCCACTCCCACCACGGCGGCTTAATTACTGTCGCCCCTCCAGATGCGGATTCGCCCTTCTCGACTTGTTTCCACAAGGCCTTGAGCCGCTTCCACTGGTTGGTGCAGGCCGTTTCATTGCGATTCCAATCAGGGTGTTGCAGTTTAATGTGCTCGATAAACCGGAGCCAGTACTGTGACCCCTGTTTACCCGTCATCTACTGAAGTTCTTCCTTGGTGAACCAACGCGCGGCCACGAGAATGGTAGACTCTTTGGCCGACCACTCCGGGCGTTGGCCTTTCTGCGCGATACCGCTCAAGGCAGCTTCGGCGGTCGTCTCTGTCTCGGCAACAGCCTTGCCGTTACGCTTCACCCTGCCGCGCTGTTTCGGTGGAGCTCCGCTTAAGGACGCAGTGGCGGCGGCATCCGTGGTCTCTTCGGTAGGGCCGTTGTACTGGGCGTCCCCGTGCCATGCTGCGACGGGATCGTCGCCATCAGATCCGCCCTCCAATTCGTCGTCGTCAGTATCCTTTTCTGGGTACTCCTCATCGGTGTCGTAGTCAGGAGGAATAGGACCGCACCTGCGGTGCGGGTTGACCACAGATTGCGCTGGCGTTGTTACGCTTGACTGCACATTACGCAGAGGCTTAGAGGTAGGTCTTCCTGCGGCTATTTCCGCATTCATCCACCTAATGTAAGCTAAATCGTCCGGTCGCCATGCTGGCTCCTCTGTTGCTCCGACATTGCCCTTGCGTTTGCGGGCCATGCTAAGGAAGCGTTGGCTAAACGAATGACGAGCTGTCGGGTCTTGTCGGGTTTGTTATGTAGCTGTGAAACACCTCCATTCTCTGTTTGGATTTGTGATTGTTTGTTTGTGAGTGCGCCGGGTAAGTTTTGTACGTGCAGGCAAGACATGGCAGGATTGTGCGCGAATGTTTTGCCGCGTGGCGGCAAAACACCCAATGTTTTATACAAATCGTGCAAAAATGGCACGTTGGAGCGTGCATCACGATGGCCGTGTCACCATCGTGCACAGTTTAGTGTGCCGGCAGTCTGACACTTTCGACGATTCGAGCCGGTGTTACTGCCGTGCACTGGTGAGTCAGCACGTTCGTGCGATGCAATGCGACTGCTCTCATTCGTGCGCATTTTCGATATTGGGCTGACAAGAGGTGTTATACAACGTTGACCACAAAGTTTTTACTATCTGATATGAGGAAGCTCTGATAGGGGGCTGTAGGAACACGCCCTGATTGATATTGTAACTGTGTAATCGTCTGGGGAAATCCCATCTAACGTCAGCTAAAGCTGAGATTGGTTGGTGGCTATTACGATATGGAAGGAAAATGCCCAGTGCGAAGGACAGTGGTACTGTAGCAAGGCCTTGGCTGGGTGTGTCTGTACATTAATGAAGGTGACTTGAGTGAATTGGAGAATGGGGAGAGGACTAGCAAGTGCACTTGGCTCAAACACAGTAGCCTACAAAAGCGCTGTGCTGTGGCAGCAGCAGGGTGGTGCAATAAATGAAGCATTTTACAGGAGACAACGCAAGCAAGGGGCAATGTGTTATGCAATCCAGCAGCAAGGCTAAGGCCGAGAGGCACGGTCAGCTTTCAAGGTGGCTGTGTCAGCGGGTGGGAAAAGGCAAGTAAAAAAAGGCAAAGGGGAGAAAACAGAGGAGGAAGAGTAGGGTGGGTGGCTGGATGAATGCGTGAGTGCTGGTGATGGCAGCAGCAGGTGCTGCAAGAGACTAGATGCAAGTGAGGGTTGTGTGTGCTGTGCAGCACCAATGCTGGTGGCACAACCATGTTCTGCTTGACACACTCTGTTGCACAATAGCAGTGCTGACACATCACTTTGAAGCTGGGATCACTGTATTAGAATGGAAGCATTGGGTGAAAGGAATTTTGCCTGCAACTATTGAAGGGCATAAGGGCTGAGAGGAGGAAAAGCCTACAGAGTGTGGGCAAGACACAGGCTGGCAGGCTGAGGGGGGCTAAATAAAGGCGAGGGAGTTGCGGTCGTTGCCTGCTTGCGGTCGGCCCCTTGTTGGAGTGGGTGGCCGTTGTGAGTTGAGCTCCTGCAGGCATCACACACGGTAACAGGGCAGGGTGGGGTGGCGTGGGGAAGGGGGGGCGGGAGGGGGGAGAAGGGGGGAGAAGGGGAAGAAAAGAGGGGAGAAGCGGGGGAGGAAAGGGGAGAAGGGGGGGGAGAAGAGGGGAGGAAAAAGGGGGGAGAAGGGGGAGAAAAGGGAGGGAGAGGGGGGAGGAAGGTTACAGCCATTGACGGAAAGCTCGTAGTGTAAACAGCATGAGCGGCACAATATGAGACATGCGATAAACGTAGCAGTCGAGCAGGGCGAAAGAAAAAATCGAGTTGGGCAGAGGTGATTCCTGAAAGAAAGGGCATGGGTTGGAGGGCATCCCAGGGGCGAGGGTGGGAACATGTCAGTGAAAACAAAAGGCAGGAAGATGTGAGAAGCACAAAAGCCACTCACTGCCATCCACATGTCATCCTGGTCATCAGACGAGTTGGCCGGGTTGGTGGGTGTTGTCATGACATGCATACTTGATGTGGAGGTAACAAACACGGGAGGTGTAGGGAGTCGGGTGTTAGAAGCACAAGCCACTCACCTGCATCCACGTGTCATCCTGGTCATCAGACGAGTTGGCGGGGTTGCCGGTGGGCGGTAGCGGGTGGATCATCTTGGGGAAGACGACGAGGTCCCTCCCCAGCACCAGGATGGCGCCAGCGTTGTTGGCCGTGCCTGCACAGTCCATGCCAGGTGATAGTGTGAGAGAAGGGAGGAGGGCCAGGTCCAGATATTAGTATATGTCATGCTATAGAATGAGAAAACCATGGGACTTGAAAGAGGGAAAAAAATATCACAGCAGCACTGACCGCAGTAGTTGGTGGCGGAGAAGAGTATGATGAGGTGGCCTCCTGTGAAACAGAGATGTGGCAGCACTCACCCCAACAGCACTCATCGCCACACCACTCACTCCAGCACCAATCACAGCAGCACTGCTCCCACAAGCATCACCCAAAGAAGCGCCACTGACCGCAGTAGTTGGTGGCGGAGAAGAGCGTGATGAGGTGCCCCCCTGCGAAGCGCTCAAAGCCGTCCATGACACACTCGTGTGCGCGAATGATGAGCTGCAGGTCGTTGGTGTGACAGAACTCCATCACTCGGTCAGGCTGGAGGGGAGGGGAGGGGAGAGGGGGGAGGGGAGAGGGGAGAGGGGAGAGGGGAGAGGGGAGAGGGGAGAGGGGAGAGGGGAGAGGGGAGAGGGGAGAGGGGAGAGGGGAGAGGGGAGAGGGGAGAGGGGAGAGGGGAGAGGGGAGAGGGGAGAGGGGAGAGGGGAGAGGGGAGAGGGGAGAGGGGAGGGGAGTGGGAGGAGGGGAGAGGAGGGAGGTGTTGGATTGGTGAGATTTGAAAACCTTGTTGCATGTGGAATGATGAGCTCCAGGTCGTTGGTGTGACAGAACTCCATCACTCGATAAGCCCGGGGTGGAGGAGGGACGGAAGAGGTGAAGGTTCCAGGGAAGGGCGGGGAGAGCGGACGGGAGGGGAGTGGGGAGTAGAGGCGAGAAGAGGACCAGGTGTTGGGAGGAAGGAGGACCAAGCATAGGCGGCATGGGACAGGAAATCTGAGCACGAGGAGTGCAAGGAGAGGAGAGCATTGGACTAGAGGAGCGGAGGGGAGGAGTAGAGGAGGAGAGTAGGAAAAAGAGAAAACGAGCAAGCAAGGAGAAGAGGACAAGACGAGCGGAGGAGGGGCAAAGAGGATGAGAGGAGAGGAGAAGAGGAGAGGGGACATGAGGAGAGAATGGAAGGAGTGATGAGACGGGGGGAGAGCAGGGGCAAGGCCGAGAGGCTCACCCCAAAGGTGACGAGGCCTGGTCCTCTGGCGTTGGGTTGCAGGCCCTCTATGCTGTCGTTCTCCGTGGGATCCGACCTGTGGGTCAGGAGGGGTGAGAGCATGTGTCCGAGTGAGAGAGGATCCGTCTGTGCGGGGCATGTGTGTGTGAGTATTCACGCCCTTTGGCGTTGGGTTGCAGACCCTCTATGCTGTCGTTCTCCGTGGGATCCGACCTGTGAGACGAGGGGTGAGAGCATATGTGTGAGAAAGCCAGTGGGTAGTAGTGTGTGTGTGGAAGTGAGTATGCGTGAGTGCGAGAGAGTGGGTATAAGTGTATGTAAGGCCTCGAGCACACACTGGAGCAAGTCCAGAACCATTGAGCCTGCTTCCATGGTGATGGGGCGCTTGAGCTCCTCGATCTGCGACACGTGCTGGATGGACCCAAGTGTAAGAGCTGACACATTGACTCGCCACACAAGGTCCCCCACAGAGCCCCACACAGCACATGGTCCCCCACAGAACCCCACAGAGCCCCACACAGCACATGGTCCCCCAACACACCACAGCAGGTCCATGAGCACCATGGATCCGGCCTCCATGGTGATGGGGCGTTTGAGCTCTATGACACACTGACTGACAGAGCAGGCAGACGAGGTATCACCCAGTGCCCCGACTCACCACAGCAGGTCCATGAGAACCATCGACCCAGCCTCCATGGTGATGGGGCGTTTGAGCTCCTCGATCTGCGACACGTGCTGAATGGAGCGCCCTATACCCCCGTGCATGCACAGGATCTTGTGCTCTATGAGTGCTGCTAGGGGCAGCCAGTTGAACAGCTGGTTGATGCGATGCCACGCCCATATGCCCCCCTCCTCGCCCTGCAGGGGTTTTATGGTGGTAATGGGGGGAGTGTGGAACCCAATGAATGAGAAGGAAATGATTGGCTAGGTCAATCCACACAGTATGTCTCACAAGCATAGTACACTGGCAATAGGATGGGTGCAGTCACTTTGCGGTGCACAATCTTTGCACAGGTTACATCAGCCATGCATCAAACACGGTGACATGGACCGCACTGCACCACTCACCATGCGTTCGATGCACTCCATTCGGAAGCCAAAGAGAGCATTGATGTCTGCCGCCTCGTGATTGCCTCGAATCAGATGCACGTTGCGCGGGAACTCAATCTGGGTAGGGGGGAGGGAGGGGAGGGGAGGGGAAGAAAGGGAGGCATGAGAGAGGAGGAGAAAGTGCAGTACACGAGAATCAGATGCACATTGCACGAAAACTCAATCTGGAATGGAGGCGAGGAAGGGGAATAAAGGGAAGTGTGAGAGGATAGGAGTAGATGCAGTGCACAAGAATCAGATGTGCGTTGCTCGGGTACTCAATGTGGGGTAGGGGGGAGGGAATTCAGGGAGAATGGCAGTTCAAGAGGAAATGCGGTGTAAGAGATTCAGGATTTCGTACTAGCAAGCAGCGGATAAACGAGCGGTAGAAAGATTGAAACCCTGCGACCCACATCCATGCAGCCATCCCCCAACCATGCTATCCATCGATCCCCCATCCATACACGTTCCCCACATGGTGTGAGTTCCCTGCATCACCTTGAGTGCGAGCAGCAGGATAATTGTTTCGAGGCTGTGCTGGCCCCTGTCCACGTAATCTCCCAGGAATAGGTAGTCGATGTACCTGGTGGGAGGGGGGGGAGGGGAAGAGACAGTAGGGATAGTGAGGAGAGGAACGGAGACAAAGCCAGTGAGGGACTGAAGAGCGGAGAGCGGAGGCACTGCGCTGCCCCCTGTCCATATAGTCGCCAGGAAAAGGTATTCTATGTACCTGGTGGGGGTTGGGAGGAGAGCGGATGGAGGGGGATGGGGGAACGGGGGAAGATAAGGGTAGCGAGGGAGTGGAACGGGGATTCCGAGGCACGGTGCTGTGCTGGTCCCTGCCCATGCAGTCGCCCAGGAAAAGGTAGTCTATGTACCTGGTGAGGGGGGGGAGGGAGGAGAGGGCAGGAGAGCACAGCACGGAACATATGTGCAGTGAGGATGAGAGGGAGTGAGGTGTGGAGGGCAGAGGCGCGGTGCTGCGCTGCCCCCCCACATGGCCCGCCTGATGGTCGCATCCCTGCACCGCCACATCCCTGCAGCAGCACCAGCGGAGGGTGGCACTGTGTTGTGTTCAGGCACTCACGCGATGTCGCCGGCAGTGGAGGGCGAGCCGTACTCGTCAAAGAGGCGCATGAGGTCGCCAAACTGCCCGTGCAGGTCGCCAAAGATCTTCACTGGCGCCCGCACCTGCCACATGACACGATGGGGGGGGAGGTGGGGGGGAGGTTAAAGGGGGGAGAGACATAGGGGGAGATAGGGGAGGAGACACGAGGGATACACAGGATTTGTGGCAAGGAGAGCTCGCTGGGTGACAAGTCAAACCAAGGGGCTGATGGCCGCATTATTGGCAGAAGCACCCAGATACACGCCTAATGGGAAGGTACACTTTTTTCTCATAACCTTTGTTGCTCTTTCTCACCTGCAGCACGGAGGGTTCGTTCTTGAAGTGCGTCTCAGCGAGGTCACAGAGCTCCACCACGCCGTGCATGTCAAGCCCCACCCGTACCCTACCGGACCCACCCTCCCCCACATTACATTACCAGCAGCACACATACGCCTGGTACTCCCTCAGTCTGGACCTGGACCCACACTCCCAGTCGTACCTGCAGCACGGAGGGTTCATTCTTGAAGTGTGTCTCAGCGAGGTCACAGAGCTCCACGACGCCATGCACGTCCAGAAAGAACTGCCGACTCACCGGAGGCTTCCACCCCCTCGGCTTCAACAGCGTTTGCAATACCTGCAGCCAGCCAGGGGCAGACGGGGGGAGGGTGAAGTGGAGGATGTGGTGTGTGTGTCTGTGAGTGAACGATTTGATTGCGAGTGAACGTCATAATCTGCAAATACCCCAGTATACCTTTTTTTCCCTCCCCTCTCCTGCGCCCCTGTCCCACCACCCTTTTCTCCTGGCCTGCTTCTCACCTTCTTATGCACGCCCTGGATGGACATCTGCCTGTCCAGCAGGCGTCTGTGAGCCTGCGCGCCGTCAGGGCTGTAGCTGATGCGGCGGTGCACTTACTTGGAGCTGCACAAACTAGCAGCCTCCTGCCTACTCTACCCCCACCCAACCCCCGCTCTCCCCCCCACTCCCGCCCCTCTCACCCCACACACACCTTCTTATGCACGCCCTGGATGGACATCTGCCGGTCCAGCAGGCGTCGGTGCGCCTGCACGCCATCGGGGCTGTAGCTGATGCGGCGGCCCTCATTCTCAAAGTGCTCTATGGACAGCTGGCGCACCAAGCCCCCCAGGTTGTTGCCGCCTGGGTCTGCTGATACCACCACCTGAGGGGAGGAAGAGGGAGAGAGGGACAAGGGTAGATGTCAAATGGGGGGGGAAAGCAGGAGACGGGAGGGGGAAGGGTAGCGGGAATTGGAGAGAGAGACGTACGTTGACATACCAATGGAAATGAAATCTGCGAGGAAAAATTAAAGCTGCACAGTCAAGCAGACAGCGGAAAAAAACGAGTGGGGCGGTGTGGGTGAAAGGGGGGAAGAGGGAAAGGGTGCATTGAAATGGGGGGGTTGGGGAAGGAAAGGGAAGGAAAGTAGAGCAGAGGGCTAGCGGGGGCTGGCAGCACTTACAGCGCGGTGATGCAGGCGCACGCCGCCCTTGAAGTCGGGAGTGTCACTCCTGCCGTCGTCGCTGTGGCTGGTGAGGCTGGACGTGCTGGGGTGCAGCCCGTCGCTGCTGCTGTCGTCCGCATCCCCCTCCTCGTCTTCCTCCTCCTCCTCCTCGTCGCTACCCCCCGCCCCGCCCCTTCCTGGCACGCCCCCCCTGCCGTTGAAGGATACCCCATCCGCGCCCTCCTCACCACTGGGTGGATCGGACGAAAAGAGGAGGGGGTGGGGGGTCGGGAGAAAAAAGAAGAGGCGGGGGAGGGGAGGGTTGGCGGGAAAATGCGGGGTAGAACATGGGGAAGACATTTGAGTTGACTCAATAAGCGCCCCTCCCTGGCACGGCCCCCCTGCCGTTGAAGGACAGGCCATCCGCGCCCTCCTCGGCACTGGGGACGTCGTGGGGGGGGGGGATGGGGGGAACATGGAGGAGAACGTGGGGAAGCGGGGGAAGGGGAGGGTGGGGCGGGGGGAGGAAGAGGAGAGGAATAGGAAGCAGACGAGGGCATGGAGCAAGGGCGTAGAGATGGAAGACAACAACAAATCCAGCGCGCCAAACCACGCACCTGGTGAGGTGGTCGCGAGCATGAGCTGCCCCGCCATCAGCCTCCCTGCCAGCGGCAGAGGCAGCAGCAGCCTCCCCACAAGTGATTCTATGGTGGACAAAAGAATCACCTCTAGTCCCAGCCAGCCCCGCCACGCACCTGGTCAGGTGGTCGCGAGCATGTGCCCCGCCGTCAGCCTCCCTGCCAGCGGCGGAGGCAGCGGCAGCGTCCCCGCGCGCCCCCTTGCGGGGGGCCACGGGCGGCCTGCGGTTGCCCACGCCCTCCGCCTTGGCGGACGGGGCAGGCAGAGGAGGCGGCTCCGGTGGTGAGTCATCGGCAATCAGCAGATCGTCCAGAAGAATGCCTGGTGTGCGCGCGGAGGGGGGAAGAGTGGGGGAGATGAAGGGGAGGGGAGGCGGGAATCGGTCCGTTGGAGGGTTGACAATGAGAGAGTGGAAATGGCAGAGGAGGTGGCTCCAGTGGCGAGTCGTTTGGCAATCAACAGATCGTCCAGGAGGATGGGTATATGGTCAACAGCGTGGGGGAGGGGCGGGTGGTGTGCGTGGGGGGCAGAGAGTGAACAGTGTGAGCATATGGTCCTCCAGTATTATTCTCTTCCACTCACTCCAGCCCTTCTACACTCCCCCCCTCACTCCATCCCTCCACCATTCCTCTCGGCCCCATGATTCCCCCCATCCCCTCGCTCACCCCCTCGGAGACCCCCATAGATAAAGATTGAGTTGGCAACGGCAGCAGCGGCGTGGCGGCAGCGGCGGGTGAGCTCGGTGCTGGCGTCGCCCCCAGGCGCGTCCGCACTGAATCGCCCCGTCCTTGCCACCGCCACCGTGCCCTTGCGGTCACACCACACCCCCGCTGCCGTGTCCAACACTGCCGTGCATGGGAGAGGGAGGGCGGAGGGAAGGAGGAGGTGGGAGGTTGAGAAAGTGGTAATTAGCCCCTCCTTGCCACGGCCACCGTGCCCTTGCAGTCACACCACACTCCCGCTGCCGTGTCCAACACTGCAATGGGGGAGGGGGACACGGCGGGACGAGGACAGAAGAAAGGAAGGCGTACGCGGCAACAATTAACAGCCATCGAAGCTCTTGGTTTGTTGGTGCCACCGCATGGTCACCGGGCACACACCACCCCTGTCGGGTGGGTGCAAACATTCCATGGTTGCAAAAAGTGACGGCAGGTACGGTCACTGGACGCATCCTCCCCCACTCACCCGCCACACCAGATGCATCCTCCCCCACTCACCAACCACCACACAGAATGTTTGTTTGCAGACAATAGGGGGAGGTGGGTTGTGCACGCAGTTAAGTTGAGTTGCACTACATTCGGGTACATTCTGGCACATTCTGTGCGTCAGTTTAGTTGAACTACAGGAGGCTGCATTGCACTCACCCGCCACACTGGACGCATCCTCCACCATGCGGCCGCCCCCCAGGGCTCCACCTGACACATGCAGGCGCAGGTTCACAAACACCTGCGCACACACGGTGGAGGGGTTAGGGAGAAGGGGGAGGGGGGCGGGGGGTGTTGGAGAGAGGGGGGGGGGGGAGGTGGGGACGGGGGAAAAGAGAGGGAGAGTAAGGCGCATGAGTGGCTAACTTGTGCAAGCTGGTTATCTAGACAGAACCACGACAACCAACCCACTGGTGGTACTACTCGACCAACAAGTGAAATATGGACGGACAGGCGCATGTGTGATGGGAGGGGCTTACAGCAGCGTGCTGGTAGCGCGCCGAGGGAGACACGCCAGGCGCGATGGCCCACTCCCACCGCCCGTCTCGGTGCCGCGCCAAACCATACGCGCCTGGCAGGGGCTGTGGGGGGACAGGGGGGGGGGGGGGGGGGGGGGTAACGAGGGAAGAGGAAAAACGGGAATTTATGGACAAGGTCAGTACTTACTGGAAGAATCAAAACAAGCACCTGCACAAGGGACTTGGACCATAAGGGAAGAGCGCAGGTTGCATCACAGTGCAGGGCATGGCATGGCACGGCATGACATGAGACAACAGTGCAGCTGGTGCAGCACGAGCAGAGGCTCACCACGCTGCTCCCGTCGCGCCCGCCGCAGAGCAGCAGCAGCCCGTCATGGCGCGAGCTGGCGGTGGCGTACATGCAGGGCGGCGGCCCCTCGCCATCGGGCTCCAGCTTCTTCCACTCGTACGGCTTCGCCGCCGTGTCCAGCGTCCACACGTCCGCCAACGGCCGCTTGCCTGGAGGAACGGGGGGGAGGGGGAGTAGTACATAAGGTAAGACGAATGAGATAGATGGTGTTTCTTAACATTCTCAAACGCATGTGGCTGTGTCCAGCGTCCACGCGTCCGCCAACGGCCGCTTGCCTGAAGGCGGGAGGAAGGGGGAAAGGGGGAGGAAGGCGGGGGAGGGAGAGGGAGAGGGAGTGGTGCGGAAAGGGGGGAGGAGGGGAGAATCACATGCACTAGGCTTGAATGAATGAGGTGAGCGTGGTGTAGCTGGACTGAGAATGTATTCCGAAAGGTGGAAAAGGACATGGTTCTGGGTAGTCGAACGCGTGGAGTTGAATATAGATCTCTCGCTCGCTAGCTCGCCATGTCGCTCGTTCGCTGGCCCGGTGGCGCGGCGCTCACCGTCGTTGCCGCTGATGGAGAGCAGGAAGCGCTGCCCCACCAGCGCCATCACGTGGCCGTAGCGCGGCCCTGGTCCCGCGCCCTGCACCACCACTCTGATCGCGGAGGGCCGGGGGGAAGGGAAGGGAAGGGAGGAAATAGCAGGGGAGGGGGATGCGGGCGGTGAGAGTCAGGGGCGGTTAATGAAGAAAGAGGTCGAGGCTGTTAATTCACAATGCGCGGGAGACGGAAAAGGTCGTAGCGAGATAGGGAAGGCACCGTTTCCCCGTTACCTGTGCCATTTGGGGCGCGCTTGTGTGAGGTCGAGGACATGCAGGTCGTCCGTTGCCAGGCCCGCGGGCCCAATGCCACCCTGCCAACACGCGTTCAGCGAAATTTAGAGAAACAGACTGGCGAAGAAGTCGAACGATGATAAAGAAAAGCCTCCACTCCTGAACACAATTCAATAGCCTTTCGCGCAAAAACCCGCGCTAGAAATGAGGGTAAACGGACGCAAGATTAAGAGCGACCGAGGGTTCGCGCGGTAATGTCGAGCACTGATGAGAAGGCACCTGAATGACGATCATGGTCCCCACTGCCGTCGCCGCGTGAGCTGCTCGAGGCGACGGAGGCTCGCCGACTGGCGACATTCTGAAAGCGAGACGACACGGGAATGCTTCTGCATGAGGCGCGTAACGTAATGCACGTACTACACATTACTGAACGGCGACGATGGAAACTCCGCCATGGGAACTCAAATCGTTACACCACTACCGATTGGCCTTACGACAACGCCTGCTTTCCAGTAGAAGAGGAGACCTCCAGAGTGGTGATAAGCCCTTTGTAAGCGATACTGAAATCTTGACATTTGTATATGATTCTTTTCTCGCATTGTGAGAAACCAGACATTCACGTACTTGCTCCATGTTCTGGATTTCACGTCGAAGCAGTGAACGTCCGCAGTTGCCCCCGCCAGACCTGCGCGCGATGACAATGCGAGCTTAAAAAGATGAGCTTGGAGAGTGGGGGTTAAAAATATGTGACCTTCAAACAACCTGAGAGGCGTACCAAATTAAGAGTTTTAAATGCATAAGAGAAAAATGATAGGTGCCCGACAACGATAGCGGGAGAACGGAATGGCGTAACGGCAATGCCAGGTACGACGAAATGATACGACATGACATGACATGACATGACATCAGATGACCTGACATGGTTAAGAAAGCGATGCACCAAGGTTGGTAGGTGCCGAGCCTTACGAATGCCTGCAGCGCCGCCTGCAGTGGCGCCAGCTCCGCCTTCCAGAGCCGTGGCTCCACCGAAGAGAATCAGTCTCGGACCCACGTAGTTGGCGCTTCCTGGCTCTCCCACCGCAGCAACGGCTGTAAGCGTATGACCGCACCTAGGGCCCGGCGACTCGCCATTGAACGGACAGGGAGTATACGTGGGAGCTATTCTTGGCTGCTCGCCATCGGCGTCGACGTCCATGCTTTGCAAGTCTTAAATTAGGAAACTAAAGAAAGTAAAATGACGCTACGGATGAATTTGGCGAGTCTGGACGCAGAGGAAAACGACAACACGCAGAAGCAGTCGGAGGCACAAAATATCGCTCTCAAAATACGTATTAGCGTAAGCGTTACTTCTGTTAGAAACTCTGAGCAGGTGACCTAATGTCCGCGCACAGGCAAGGCGCAGTCTCGACACTAGGTTCAAAGAAGTGAAGCAGGGCGTGGTGGTTGGGGGAAGAGTGAGTGAGTGCTGTTTGACTGGCTTTCGACGATACGACCTAGACCTATGACTCGCTTAGTTGATGAGAAGCTGCTACGGGTGGTGGTTCAGGCAATCGGGGATGTTGAGTCCAGCTGGATAAGGCTGGGCAGGACAACCAGTTGTGTTGGTGGTGGGTGCAGTGCTGCTGCTTTTTGGGACTCGGATTGTAGAAAAGGCCAAATTCGTTTGGGGTGGGACAGGGTGGAGTAAGGTGGTATGGGATGGGCTGAGGTGGGGCGAGCTGCTTGTGATTTAGTATGGGACTTTCCCAGCATTCAGGTCCTCCAGAGAGATATGGCAGAGACAGACATAGGTGAAAGTTTCCAAACCAAACCGCCAAGTAATGACATCCGAGCCGGCACATCGTGGCTTTCGACAAGGCTTGGAGGCTGGAGAAAACCGTGTTACCGCACCCAACAGCTAGAAGAGCCTCGATTTGGAAAACTTGCGGAGGCTTGGTGTAACCAGGCAATTGGAGCCTTGTAAGGAATTTTCCCGAATTCCTTATCGGGGTTGACTGCTTCGCGTACAACCCGATTTTCGGAGTTCGCACGTTCGGCCGATTTCAACGCTGCCGAGGCTCCTCACGTCGCCTTCGGCTTTCCCATCGCCAAACCTGCACCCAACCTCACTCGTCCGAGGTTTCCTCCTAGCTAGAGTAGTCCTACATTAGTCTGTGCATTCATTGTATTCGCAGTTGATTCAGTCACAGCTTCGTTATTCGTTTACCTGCGCACTCTCTTTTACAACTCATAACACCTGGTATCAGAGCTACTTTCCTAGTTCACCCCGCTTTTCCGAGGGTAGTTTGGTGGCATAGGGTGTGGCTGGTTTAGTGAATACACGACGGTTGGCTGCAGGGATTGTTAATTCAATCCTGCCCGACTCCGATAGTTCGTGTTTTCATTTGCCTGAAGGCCACGGAGACCCGATTGCCCACCAGACGTAGCGTTAGGCATATGGATCAGGAAGCGGTCAACAGGATGATGGCGCAAGTGGCAGATATGCAGGAAAGCATGAAGACGTTAATGGCGGAAGTGACGACACTGCGATAGGAAAACGCCGAACTACGCCAGACGCGAGGTGAAGCGCGTCAGGAGTCGCCTGTGGACGAAGGCGAGGGCAACAGTCAGGCGATGAGCAATCCATTGGATGTGCTCACACGTGACTTCGAAGAGGAGGATAGGCAGCGAGCGGCAGCAGCTCCAGTTGCAGTGACAACGATCAAGATCAAGCCCGTCAATCCACCCCCGTTTAATCCTACGGACAAGACGGTTACGGTAAAAGGGTGGTTGTTCGGGGTCGAAGTCTTTTTTACTGCAGCCGGAGTTAATGACGACGCCACGCGTATTAATTACGCAGTTTCGCTTCTTCGAGGTGCAGCGCTTGAGTGGTGGCGCCGAACCTTGGAAACAGGGACGCCGACAGGTGTGACACATGCGGCAGACGGGACCTCTACAGTGACTAATCAAGTGGCAACGTCGATCTTCGAAGTGACCACGATACGCACATGGAAGGAGTGGGGCGCAGCCTTACGAGGTCGCTTCGAGCACGTATCCGCCTCGGAGCAAGCTCGCATGAAGCTGCGTGCATGGTCGCAGATGGCTTCTGTCCAAGACTACACGGCGTCATTTATGAGCCTCGCCGACCAAGTCGATGACATGTCGGAAGCTGAACGGCTGGATAAATACATCAGCGGCCTCAAATACGAGATACAGTACGAGGTTCGCAGGGGCCGTCCGACGTCATTTCTTGCAGCAGTACAGTTGGCGGAGTCCACAGATGCGCTGATGCAGTACGCGAGAGCAGCTTCCCGGGAGGGAAACCGTTTTCGTGGCCAGACCCATCGGACCACGATCAACGCCGTCCATACACCCGACCGCCTGTCAGAACTTATAGCTTACTTGTTTCTGTAGGCTATAGTGGGGTATCCCATAGGGGGTACAACCCAATTAGGGTTTCCTATTTGTACCCACTTCGTTCATAGTCATTCCATTCTCGTTCTTTGTTTTCACATGGAATCAGAGCAGGTTCCCTCCTAGGGACTGCTTCTAGGGCCCACCGAACCGCGCCCCGAGGCGCGTTTTTTTTTTTTTTTTAGCGACCCGTCGTGTCGCCCCTAGCGGACCGTTGCGCCGCCCTTCCCCTCGCGGCTCCGCCGCCCTTCCCTAGCGGCCCCGCCGCCCTTCGATCGCGGCCCCGCCGCCCTCTGCTACGCGGCCCCGCCGCCGCCCTTCGATCGCGGCCCCGCCGCCCTCTGCTACGCGGCCCCGCCGCCGCCCTTCGATCGCGGCCCCGCCGCCCTCGGCTACGCGGCCCCGCCGCCCTCTGCCTCGCGGCCCCGCCGCCCTCTGCTACGCGGCCCCGCCGCCCTCTGCTACGCGGCCCCGCCGCCCCTCGATCGCGGCCCCGCCGCTCTCTGCTACGCGGCCCCGCCGCCCTCTGCTACGCGGCCCCGCCGCCCCCTGCTACGCGGCCCCGCCGCTCTACTCGATCGCGGCCCAGCCGCCACTCTGCTACGCGGCCCCGCCGATCCGCCCAGCAGCAGCCGCCGCCGCCTGAGCCGCCGCCGAGCCGCCGCCGAGCCGCCGCCGAGCCGCCGCCGAGCCGCCGCCGAGCCGCCGCCGAGCCGCCGCCGAGCCGCCGCCCGAGCCGCCGCCGAGCCGCCCGTGCCGCCCGAGCCGCCGCCGAGCCGCCCGTGACGCCCGAGCCGCCCGCGCCGCCCAGCAGCAGCCGAGCCGCCGCCGAGCCGCCGCCGCCTGAGCCGCCGCCGAGCCGCCGCCGAGCCGCCGCCGAGCCGCCGCCCGAGCCGCCGCCGAGCCGCCCGTGCCGCCCGAGCCGCCCGCGCCGCCCGAGCCGCCTGCGGAGCCGTGCTGCTGTTCCTCTGCTGCTGACCTACCCGCCTCTCCCAGCCCGGTGAGATTTTCAGCTGCTGTCATGGCCACCCCCAATGTTCTTACCTTTGACGCTGAGGGGAGGGCCATTGACTTTGCCGTCTGGATTGAAGACCTGCAGCTGTACTTACTGTGTGATGCGATAGATGAGGTCTCTCTCTTTGACTTTGTCTCTGGCGCTGTCCCTGCCCCACCTGCTGATGCTGACTCTGCCGTTCGCTCCAAGTGGGCGACCCGCGATGCTGCTGCACGTCTTGCTGTGCGTCGCCACCTCCCTTCCTCTGAGCGTGCCCACTTTAGTCAGTGCAAGACCGCTCAGGCCTTGTACGACGCTGTAGTTGCACGCTACTCCTCCCCTTCCTCCGCTACCCTTAGCCGCCTCATGCTACCGTTTCTCTTCCCTGACCTCGCTTCCTTTCCCACTGTCGCTGACCTCGTTACCCACCTCCGTGCTAGTGACACCCGCTACCGCGCTGCCCTTCCTGCTGAGTTCCGCGCTGCGAACCCTCCTCCCATGTACATCACTCTCTACTTTCTCGTCACCCGTCTCCCTGAGTCCCTTCGTGTCGTTAGGGACCAGTTTCTCTCTGTCTGTCCCACCACTCTCACTGTCGACCTCCTTGAGGAGTCCCTGCTAGCGGCTGAGAAGAGTATTGTCGCTGTAGGGGCCTCTCGGGGTGACCCTCGCACCCCCATCTTTGAGGGGTGTGGTCCTTCCCCCCTGCTGCCCTCTGTCGCCTCTGCCGCTGCGGCCGACCTCACTGGTTTTGAGTCGGTCGGCGCGGCGTCTGCCCCCAGCGGCAGACGCCGCGCTGGCAAGGGCAAAGGGGGCAAGGGAGCGGGTGGAGCTAGAGGGGGCGGTGGAGGAGGCGGTGGGGGTGGCGGGGGGAGTGGGGGTGGCGGTGGGGGTGGTGGCGGGAGTGGAGGTACTGGTGGCGGCGGTGGAGGCGGAGGTGGCGGCGGAGGTGGTAGCGGAGGAGGCGGTGGGAGCGGTGGGAGCGACGGTCCTGGTGGGGGAGGTGGAGGTGGAGACGGGGGTGGCGGTGGAGGCGGGGGTGGCAGTGGAGGCGGGGGTCGGAGTGGCTCGTCCCAGCGGAGCAGCTCCGGGGGTGGTCAGCGCCAGCAGCAGCAGCAGCAGCAGCCGCAGCAGCAGCCACAGCAGCAGCAGCGCTCTCGCACCGTCCCCGCCCCTCAGCAGCTCCGTGAGTGGTACTCGCAGCGTCAGCGTGGTGGTGCGCTTGGTCCTTGCCCCTACGTTCTCCGCACCGGTGACCGTGCAGGGGAGAGGTGTGGAGGCGCCCACACTGCCCGCCGCTGCTTTGGCCGCCTGACTGACGCCTGGCGTCAGCAGTTTCCGGAGGCAGCTGAGATCCCCCGCTGGGGAGAGCTGTCTAGGGCTGGTGTAGCTATTTATGATCTTGATTTTGATGCTATTCTCTCTGCTATGTATGCTGCGATTGGTAGTGATGAGGATGACTGTTACCGGTGTCTCCCGCCCGACCCGGGCATTGGTACTGCCGCGTCAGGTACTAGTGAGGCTGCTGCTCTAGGTGCCAGTGCATCTGTGCTCTCAGGTGCTGGTGAGTCTGCCCTCTCAGGTACTGTGTCGGCTTCGGCCTCTCACACCTTCACCCTTGACTCTGGAGCGTCTCGCTCCTTCTTTCGGGACCGCACCACTCTCACGCCGCTGAGTCGGCCGGTTGCGGTGTCCCTGGCTGACCCCTCTGGGGGGCCTGTCCTGTCTCGCTTCTCCACTGTCCTCCCGTGTCCGGCGGCCCCCTCTGGCACCCTGACTGGTCTTTACCTCCCCTCGTTCTCGACGAA